CCTTGTCATTCGCTCCACCTCTTCCCTCATAGAGACCATTGTAGAATGTAAGACTGCCGCTAAGGTCCTCATGTTATGGAGGTACCAACCCCTAAGTCAGCAGCCTGTCCAAGGAGATGATGCTCTCTAACCCACGTATGGGTTCGCGCATCAAAGCGGGGAATGTGGTAGTGGGTCCTAGACAAAGGCCTTCCCAGACCATGTGGTCACTAAGGATTTCGCACGGGCTTCAGACAAAGACATTCCTGGACTGTATGGTTATCAAGACTTCTGCGTTTAATATTTCCAAATTCCTACCTCACCCAGGAGCCAGTCAGGCACTGGCACAATGACCACATGTTCTAATAATAAATCTGAGCTGCCAACCCGGAAACCTCAGGGTATATAGCCCCGAGTCCCGCCCGGGTTGGGGCTCAGCTTCTGGATGTGAATCTGCTGAGCCAGTGCCGGCATTAATAAAAGTTGCTTCCCACGCCTTGGTGTCCTGTTTCTTAGTCTGGGTTCCCCGCAACAATTAGTATTATTTTATGGTTCAGAGACAATCTCTATACCATGAAAATAATCTTTATTTTCTTAAATATGTTAAGGATTAAAAGAGCATAAAAGCACATCAAAGGCTTTATTTGCATAATTATGTTAATTATCCCTAATAGGATTGGTGCTCAGTGGTCATCAGTAGAAAAGACCAATAAAAAGGAATGTTTAGTTTTCCTAATAGCCATTTTGGTTTTTTAGAGTGGTATGTTTTTACGTTCTGAATTCTGTGATACAAACTTTAGAGGAGCTAATTCCAATTTCAGTGTTAAAAATAGCACTGTATTTTATTTTCCACATAGCCTTTGAAAGCTATCACAAAAGGTAGAATATTGATCACTGCAACATGATACTTACATTGTTTTCTAATCTCCTTTTTCTTATATCCAATATTTTCTTGTAACAGAAGGACTTACATCTCCACCCCGACGACACTATCAGTCTTCTGAGGAAGGGGCTTTTTAAGTTTTCCTGTTTTGACATAGGAGAAGCACTTAATTTTATGCCTTGGTTTATGGGATCACTTTATCCTGATTTGTCCCTTTTAATGCACAAAATCATTTTGTGTTCTTTGTAATAACAAATGCCAGGCTTCTTTGTAATAATGCCAGGCAGTTTCTTTTCAGACTCTAAAGAAAGATAGACAAAAAATATG